GTATTTTGTAGGCAGCCATTTTTGTGTGCAGAGAACCGTTATTATATTACAAAGAAATGATCCGACAACTGATGACAGACTTTTATGGGTTTATTGGGCTGACATGTCAGTGATTAGGGGGGCGAGGATGTTGGGAGGTCATGGTAACTTTTCGGAACTAAAGCCGCTCCTCTGAAGGATTTGGAAGGGAAATGTGTTTGTTAGTCTGTCACACAAATAAAAACGAGATGATTTTGTTGTACTTTAAATCGTTCAGTCCGGGTGGGTGCGGATAGACTGCCAACCATGGGTCTTGCCTTACACCTTGAGGAGACCTCGCCGCAGTCCTTCCTGCCTCTGCATCCCGCCTCCTCAAAGGCTTCATCAGCTGAGCAGAGCAACCAGTCTTCAAGGGTTACAATAAACCACGCCCACTTAACAGCATCTGCCAATCGGTTTTAAGGGACCCGATTCTTTGGACCGCAGCGTTTTCTTTCCATCTGCAGGATTTTTGGACTGTTTATTGAACAAACCCCCAAAAAACATGGAACTGAAACTAGGATAAAACAAAACTGTAGGATGCTGCAGGTTTAAACACAAAACAGGAATGTGATGGACGGCCTGTGTAATGCCGCAGCTTCCCTCCTAATAAAGGAACTAAAGGACGCCCGTGTGCCTTTGGTCTACCTAGGTTCTTCATCCTGTGAGAAGCTCTTCCCCCCTGTGGGAACTGAAGTGTGCCACCATAGATGTTTTCTTTGCAAAACGTTTTCCGCACTCAGGACACACATATGGACGATCCCCCGTGTGAGTCCTCTGATGTAACAGAAGGGTCCCCCTTTGGATAAAACACTTCCCGCATTCGGAGCACGAGAACGGCTTCTCTCCGGTGTGGAGTTTTTTATGCCTGACCAGAGACGACTTCCGGGAGAAGAGCTCGCCGCATTCGGAACAGGAAAACGGCTTTTCTCCCGTGTGAATCCTCTGATGCGCAAAGAGATTCCCCGACTGGGCGAAGCACTTCCCACAATCGGAACAGGAAAAGGGCTTCTCCGAGGTATGGATCCTCTGGTGGATGACCAGGATGGATTTGTCGGTAAAGCTCTTTCCGCACTGTGAACATGAATATGGCTTCACCCTGTTGTGAAGCTTCTGGTGTGTGCTGAGATATGACTTCCGAGGAAAAACTTTCCCGCATTCGGAGCATGAAAACAGCTTCTCCGCCGCAGGATCAAATTCGTGTTTAAGTTCTGATTTCTGGGGGAAACCTTTCCCACACGGCAAATGAGAAAACAGCTTCCTGCTTGGGTGAGAGTTCTGGTTCGACATGGACTGTGCTCTTTCGATAAAATGTTCAGCATCCTCAGAGCACAGGGCCGGCTCAGCCACTCTACTGGCTGCTGTGTGGCGTGTGGGGTGTAAGCTGCCGGGGTAACGTTCCTCGTGTAAGGAGGGGTCAGAGGAAGGATCTGCAATGTGAAGGAATGCATTGAGATTTGCAGCAATGGGGTTATTTTCGGAAGACTCATATGTGACTTCATTCTTGTCAAGTTTAACATCTGAGGAGGAGGTCAGATACTTCTCTGTGGGGTTCGCTCTATAATGTCCATCTGGAGGAAATGAGAGATAGGAAAGACTTAAGAATTAACCAATGGCGTGTGATGAATCTGCTTTGTATTCCGTCCCCTACCATGTTAGTTTGGAACTTGGAAACCTCATGAAGTGTAGTGACCACCCAATGCAGAGGGTGCAGCTGAGTCCAAGACATACCACCGGAAAAAAAGTCAAGAAATGTACAGCTCCTACTACTCATGGGAGGAGCATGTTGGAATCCGTCATTGCCAAAGACTACAAGGTCCACTTGCCCAATTTACATTTATATAGCCATCAAAATAACATGTCGATGGCTTCCAACTCCCACACTGGGCATCAGAGATTTTGGGGGGAAAGTGGTCAAGTCTCTTGGCTGGTAACACACAATGACATGATGTGAGGAGGAGAGCCGGAGTCTAATAGAGGCTGATTGCTCCTGACTCCCCCCACTAGACACATTCCGTCCCCCCATTACTGTCTACTGACAGAGGAGGGGAGAAGAAGAGATTGTTGTAGAGACTGAACAAGGAGAATCTGGGACTCTTTTCTGGATTTAGTGTTTATTCCTCACCTGTGCTGATCTCTGGAGAACGTTCCTCCTCCTTACACAAGACATCATCCATCACATACGGCTCTTCTTCTTCCTCTTTAACATGAATCAGATTTTCATCCTGTTCAACATAAAGCAATACTCTCAGTAGATATGATCCGTTTCAGATCTAGAGTTCAGTTCCTGACTCACCTGTCCACTACTGACCCTGGCCCACAACTCGCCAACCCCGTTCTCTCATTTGGCTGTATGGCTGGCTTGCCTAGCTAGGCCCCTATTGCCTTGGTCAAGTCTTCTAAACTCTCCATCTGCCCAGGTGTTATATCTTTAATAGGTCATCTGGCCGTTCCAGACCTCACATGGCTCCCAGCAGTCTACGAATGTAGCTTATCATACACGACTTACACGGCAGTGAAATTAAACCTAATCAGCTGGAACATCTTGGCAGCTGGAACATCTTGGTGTCAGAAAGTCCAGAGAAATCCCAACCCCAATGTTCTTGGAGTGGTGGCAATCCTTCCACAAAAAATCTTCTGAGCTTTAAAAGCCTATCAAGAAGATCTTCTTCAAATGGTTCCATCTTAACCCAAGGTAAATACACTATATGGCCAAAGGTTGGCCGGCACTGACCATCAAACCTGCTTGATGGACACCTGCATGAGCTTGATGGACACCTGCATGAGCGTGATGGACATCCCTTTCATTAATGTTGATTGGGCTCTCCTTTCCAGCTATTACAGCCTCCACTCTTCTGGAAAGGCTTTTTGGAAGATTTTGCAGGGTGTCCCTATGGGAATTTGTGCTTGTCTAGCCAAAAGAACATTTGTGAGGTCAGGTACTGATGTTTAGCGAAAGGGCAGGCTCACAGTCAAGGTCATCTTATCTCAAAGGTCTTCAGTAGGGTTGAGGTCAGGGCTCTGTGCAGGACACTCAAGTTCCTCCACACCAAACTCAGACCATGTCCTTATGGAGCTGGCTTTGTAAACAGGGGACAGTCATGGTGGCACAGAAAAGCTCATTCACTAAACTGTCACCACAAGGTTAGAAGAGGACAATTGTCTACAATATCTTGGTATGGTGTAACCTTACCCTTTTGTAAACTGGGCTGGAAGATGTTCATCTTTTAGTGAAAAACAGAGGTAGCCATTAAGTTATTGTTGGTAATATGGACACAATGTTCACACATCGGCAACCCAACGTAGACAACCCAACCTTGAATCCATAAGGCCATCTAATATGCATTGGACAATCGCCTCTGCCACTATACCTGATCCTCCTGAGGAATCTCATGATGTTCCTCTGTGGAGTCCCGGGAATACAGAGGACGGGCCTGAGGGATCTCATGATGTTCCTGAGGGATCTCCTGATATTCCTGAGGGATCTCCTGATTTTCCTGAAGGATCTCTTGATGTTCCTGTGTGGAATCCCAGGAATACAGAGGACGGGTCTGAGGGATCTCCTGATGTTCCTGTGTGGAGTCCCGGGAATACAGAGGACGGGTCTGAGGGATCTCCTCATGTTCCTGTGTGGAATCCCGGGAATACAGAGGACAGGGACATCTCTCTGGGGTATTTCTGTTCCTGGACCCATCTGTAGGAAACACACACACTGACTGAATACATTGTTTCTATGTCTTTATACGAGAGGATGTGTGTATCTAAGGGGATCCTCTCGATACTCAAGAAATGAAAGTCTCCCCTTACCCGGTGATGTGAGGGGCGGCCGGTTCTCCATCATGACGTCCTTGTAGAGCTCCTTGTGTCCTTCTAGATACTCCCACTCCTCCATGGAGAAAGAGACAGAGACATCCTGACACCTTATAGGAACCTGACATACACAATGATACAGTCACCACCCAGACACATCCCTTGTCTGTTCCTGGACCATGTCCCAGAATTCCCGGCACCGCTCACCTCTCTTGTCAGGAGATTAATTATTTCATTGGTGGCTTCTTGAACCTTCTCATTGTTTTTTCTCTCACGCGTCAGGGAGTGAGATGAAGGCTCCTCAAAAGGGCTCCGGCCCTTCATCACATTGGAAGCAACAAACCCACTGGATAACTTGAAAGCGATATAATTCTATATTTGAGGAGAGAAAAAAATGTTACGTCCCCCGCTAAATTTAACCCAACTTTATCGGTTCACTGACTAATACCTAACAGAGATTACCATAATGTCAGGTGACCTCCCAGAATCCCCCTCACCTCTCCGGTCAGGTCTGTGTTTTATTACTAGAGATAAGAGTGATGTCATGTGACCTCCCAGAATCCTCCTCACCTCTCCGGTCAGCAGGTAGATGATCTCCAGGGTGAGGTTTAACATCTTCTCAGTCATGTGACCGCGCTCAGTCTCCATCCTCAGCTAGGCGATGCGGTACAGCCGTTTGTCCTTTCAGTGTAGGCCTTGATGTAGAAACAACAATGAGATCCGGGGAGAAGAATGACATAACAGATCGACAAGGAACTCCACCCAAACCAGAAAAAGTTGAGTCATCGATTTTCACTTATATCTCAATTCTTCGGCAGCAGGTATTCTGCGCCTGTGTTCTCAACTCCGCCCACCTGCCATAGACATTTACATGGGGATTCACTTTCCTGGAATTTCCAAGTATCCTCTTAGGTGCCGTACTCCCTGCCCTCCTTCTCCTCTAGGGATCTGACTCGCTAAACAACCAGACATTTCAAGACAATGGATCCTAAAGTGTATCCAACAGGGACTATTGGAGGAAGGGGGCGGAGCGTAACCATCATGTGATTGTAACGGCTTCCTGTGTGATAATGAAGGTCAGAACAACTCTAGGGTAAGAGATCT